TTATTGAATAAGATCTGAATTCTGAGTGGTTTTGAAGTTATTTGTAGGATCCATAAATCACATTTCAGTGAAAAAGTTTTTTAATTTGGTTTTACAGTACTTTGACGGTAAATTCAGGGTAACAATTTGAAAATTTTCTCGATTTTGGTGTTTTTTGCTCTTTCGTGTAATATTAACACTGTTTGAAAAATAATAGTTATCAACAAATATAAATAATCATTGATTTGATTTATAACTATTTATCTTGCCATTTTGATTTTTTGATTTTGCTGTCAGTTGTTTATTATATATTTACAGATCCGTTATATACTTATACATATCAGCTACCATTTGCCAATAGCGATTTGAATAATTATTCTTTATTTGCTTTACTACATGGGAATATATATATAATAATCATAACGCGATGGTAGTCCTTAGCACAATTAGCCATAATTTTCATCGAATTGTTTTTTACTGTTCGATACGACTTATCATTTTTCATCTTTGAGGGATGTGTAAAGATGCACAACTTGATAGTCATTGAGATACAGTATGCTGCACTGTAAAAAATAAAGTGTGCCCGCTAGTGTACATTCCCTCAAGTGTGCATTTCGAGTCCAAAGTGATGTGCAAATTGTCACTTTGTAATCTGAATTTTTATCTTGCGTTTCTCTATAAAAAAAACGGAAGAATTCTTCTTCTCTTCAGCCTTTTTTCTCGTTCTGTCTGTAGAAGCTATATGTGCAATACCAGTGTATTATAGCCACACTGAACAAGCCGTTTTCAGTATGCAAAAACAGTCCAGCGCGATGTGCACACTCAGTGTGTCCCGGGCACACTTTATTTTTTACAGTGTGAAGATGGCTGTTGACCGGGAGCCGTTTTTGCTAATGATGTGCGTGAATCCTTATTAAGCAGCAACATCTCAACAATATTCTTGTACCAACAGTACTTAATACAGTAGTTAATAGTTACTGAAGGTGTTACTTTTTTCTTCTTAGATTGGTCGTCTTTACGTCAAATAAACAAATAAAAAAACTGGTAAAAGTTATGTCACATTTTTTTGCACATGTCTCTCTGTTTATTCCTTCAACAAATCAAATTTGATGACTAATATTATTATAGGAGCAGTTGGCCGCTATCGAATACCAAGGTCTGATAATATAACAAAAAATCGTTAGAGCAGAAGTTCTTGAATGAACAGCCCATAACCCTGAATGTGAAACCAAAATACTGTGTGTCTCCAAGAATCAAAATTACTTTTTATGCTGCAAACCTCTCCTGAAATTTATGGGTTCAATGCAAGGAGATTCATCAAGAAGATTTTTCCTCTCTTTCGTAAAATGTCAAATATAAAATGCTATTTGCTTGAGTTTTGAATACGATATAATATATTGATTTTCTTCTTTTTTGCAATATATTAATAGATTGATATGCTGATATATTTCTGTAACAAAAGTCAAGAAAAAGAATCGATACGAAATCATACCGAGAGAAAATCAGAAAAGCTTGCATCTCAGGCATCTACTGAAAAGCTGTATTATCCTGACAAGGCGGAAAATCACGATTTCTATATACAATCTTCTCTAATCGATCGATGATGAATATCGACATGTCGAAGACTTTGGATGAACACATTTAGATCTCAATAGTACACCTCAACGTTCAATCACTTCTTCCGCCTATACTAGTGATAAGTTTATCTCGTTGAATCAGTGTGAGGGTGAGGATGGTACAAAATAAGTTTTCTCAATATATGCTTGAAATTCAAGCTTTTCCACCTTCTCAGGTAAAGTTTATTTGAAGCTTCCCAGAAGATTCTGACTTATCGATTTACAGATATATGTTCTGTTTTTTTAAAAGTATTATATTTTTCTAATAATTTTCAAATTTTCATGTAAATATACATTTATATTAGACATGAGTCATGTCGAATATATACATCGTAAAAATAAGATTTGGGTATTTGTGTCAAGTGATAATCTGGAATTATCTTTAATTTTGGTATTCATTCAATGAAAATACTCAGGTATGATTCATCAAATAAGAACTCAGCATAAATAATGCGACAGGTTCTAGTAAAAAAATTGTCGGTACTCATGAGTTTCGTGGAGAATTAGACTAAAGTGCTTTTTAGTTCGTTAGTACTTACAACTAAAACTTGTAGAGACAATCTTTTGTGTTGTTGAAAGCTTACTCATACGCTAGTAGTACAATTATACTTATGCTATATTTTTAGTTAAATGACATAGTTGTTGTCAATCTGGGTATTTAGCACGGAATACTATATTGTATGTACTACATCGTTAAATCTTGTATAGATCAAGAAAATCCGCTGTAGATGACCCAAGTGAATGTACGTGAGCCAAGTACTTGCGCAAGTACTTGGGCTAAGTAATGAGAACAGTACTTGTGGACTTTTCCAAGTAAAATGTAAGTACTTGGCTGACACAATGCAAGTAAATTCACTTCAAAAGCTTCAATCAAATACTTATGCCAATTATCTTAATTTTATATTTTGTACGTATTCTGCAGCCATACTTTACTTTTGTAGAGCAAATACATGCATGGCTAGCTACTAAGTTTGTTCAACTCAGTAGAAATATATAAGTTTATTTTATACGTGTATAACGATCAGTGTGCCCAAATCCAATTTTTAGAGATCAGGAGGAAACCAGGATGGTATCATACAGTTTTTTCTTGGACAAGCAAAGTTTCGTTTCCACAAACGTTTATGACTTTTTTCTACGAAGTAATGAGAAAGTCTATCTTACAAGTGAAACAAAGAAACAGAGAGAATATAATCACATGTAGTTTATTCCACTGATATTTTTCTAGCTGTTCAGCTCACAACAGAGGCAAAACAGACATAAATATTTCCTAAGGAACCGACAAGAATCAAAGCGAATATGGAGAACAAACTGTTTGCCACACCGTTTGTAGTATTTTTGCAACATGACTGTATTGTACGACAGGTCTCTTTTTTTCTTCGCTTTTTTATTGGTCCAAAATGTCGCTAAAATCGATGCAGGAAAACAATTGAAAATCCGGAGAAAATCTTGAAAATCTGCTCCTGAAATCGGGAGAATTTTCATCAGGAGAAAAGTCTAAAGATCAGATGCTTTGGGCACTCTGATAACGATTGATATTGCGGTCTTTATATACAAGCAGTCAAGGCAAAAGAAAAGGGTAACTGGCTCGTCCAAGTACTTGGCCGACGCAAGTCAAGCGCAAGAACTTGGCAAATTCTTGATCAAGTACTTACCAAGTGCTTAACTTGTCCCGTACTTCCCAAGGACTCATCAAGTAATCAAGTACTTGTACCAAGTACATTCATTAGAGTAGCACAGAGAATTTTAACTATTTCTAATTATATTTAACATTTGTATAATACATAAAACTGCAAACTAAAAACCGCGACAAGAGAAACGATTGAAAACTCACCTTAAATTTTGAGTTTCCTGGTAAAGGGGGTGACACATTAGAAGACCCCCCCTCTCCCTTTTTTTTTATCGAGTTTTCGGTCTGAAAATGTGATAATTCTAGTGTTCAATAACATACTATTTTTTTCCTTTGCCTTTTACTAACCTGTTTGAATGAACCCACAGCTGATAGGCGAAAAGAAAAGACAGTGTGCACATGCGTTCCTTTAGTGTTGTGGGATGAGATGATAAGATGTGATGTGCGTGGATATGATATGATCAAAGAAGAATTTCTCTTATCCACTTCGCTCACTCCTATCAATATCTCACTCAAAGAACTTCTTTTGCATTTAAAATAATTACTTCCAAAGCGAGAAGAGAATGTGTTTTTACTTGACGTTATCTTAAGATAATATTGTTAAATGATTTTTTCTGTAAATGGAGTATGAGTTACACTCATAGTCTGATATGGACTATGAAATGGATAAAAAAATGAATAAAAGCCATCAGAATCAGCTGGAAACAACAGCGCATGTTCTACTGACACTAAATCAAGCTATTTCAGCCGAAAAAACAGGCTTTTTTAGAGGCACAAAAGCAGACCCCTCTCCAAGTTGTGTGCGTTAAGCCGTAATAGAAGATCCAGGTCTTCTATTAGGGCTTAACTTGTCACTTCGTTTAAAACATGATCTGTAAGATCTTATTATAAAATTGTGTAGTATCTTACGACATCTTATGCCTATTTTTACTATATTTCGATTTATCAAGTTTGACAAAGTGCTTTAAGTCACTTGGTAACACGCCAATTGTACTAACCTCCAAGAAATCATTAATTGAACATTCTTTTTCGCAGATATATCAAAAGCAATTCCTATCTAGTCCTTAATGTTTAGTTTGGTCTTGCATTTTCAAAAGCAAGACTAGATTTTTACATGTTTTAAACTAGTCATCTATGTAATCAGTTAGCGACATCTATCGAGCACAATTGTTATTGAGACTTTTAGTAGAGAATTCTAGATGGTTAGGTATTTAGAGGATCATTATATGTTCTTGACGATGTAAAACCAAAGTTGTAAACAGTAAATTTTTAGCCAAATTTCGAAAAATACATATATATGATCTTTTGTGGGCTAAACTTTTGAACTAAACGTTTGTTTTCTGTATTGGAATGAAAGCTTTTCCGGGGATGCGGCTAACTACCTGCGATCAAAATAAGAGTAGATTTCTATGATTGTCCATCTTGCTCCCGGGATTTTTAACAATATTCTAAAACAAGTTGACTTTGACTATAAAATTAGTTGTTTTTGTATAAAACTTGGATCTGCTCATCTTTTTTTAGATGATTTTTATACTCTAGGGTTAGTTGTAAATTTATTTTCAAATAAAAATATGAATTAGTCTATCGTTATTCAATACTGATTTTTTACTTTTTTCTTTTGCATTTATTGGTGCTAATTTTCACTTAATTGCTCAAATAATATGACTGACAATTCAACAAAAAGTACCTTAATGACAACAAACGATATGACAAAAAGTATTTTTAATTATGAACACCTTCTTACAAATTCAACGATAAATTCAATAAATTTTGGTTCAATGGCGGCAAGTGTCACATCGATCGCGTCTGATCACAATGATCATCACTACAGTAATCGAAGTGGTAGTTTACTTGATGGAATTGGAATGTGTGAGAGTATGACGGAAAGTTATTGTTCAATACCGACATCAAAGTTTGGTGATGATGGAACAATAACAAATTCACCCGATACAACAATCACGACAAGTGGCTTATCTGGACTGGAATTAGACAGAAAAGACTCAATAGGAAAAAATGTGTTAAAGAAACGTCGTTCGAGACGAGCACTATATGATGCGGAAGGATATTCGCCTCATAATTATGGTCTAGATAAAGTTGAAATTTTGAACATTGAGGAACAAAACGAATTGGACACAAACAGTGATGAAACTTGGTAAGTTAGACTGAAAAATTGTTTCCTTCTATCAAAAACCGACACTTTTTCCTATTAGGCTTTATCAAGCGCCAAGAAGTATTCGTGATCCATCACCAAACCTCATATCTTGGGTTCACAAAGAATTCAAATCAGATGATATATCTGCAACTAAACATCGCTTATTATGCAAATTGGATGATATGTCAAATGGTAAATCAAAGCACTCCATCTTGAAACCAATTCTCTGAGTGAAAAGTGTTTTCGAACAGGAGCTTGAAATGTTTTGCCTCAAAGTTGACAATCAGTCCGTCAGTATTTCAAAAAAGAAAAAAAAGTAAAACTTCTCTATTGTAGAATGGGCTCTGTGCACCAAAGAGGATCATCACTCGTTCGTGCAGAGAGTGGCTAACAGTCTACAAATCTGGAAGTTTTCTCTATTATTCATCATTTTCAAGGTTTTTATCCCACCGCTTTTAAAAAGTTTTGTACTGGTTCCAACTCTGTTTTGCTCCGATTCAAGTAACTATCCCTCTCAGACCTATACACACACAAACACTTTATATGATGTTTTTACACGATGAATCGAAGAACATTTCTTATCTTTTTTTTTCTTAAATTTTTTTAGCTCGTACTGTAAGAAGTATGTCATGTCACAGTTTTCCAGGTGGCCAAGAAAACGATGGTGTAAAACGGAGTAACACATCGGAAGAAGTCAAACCAGGTAAGAAGGTTTTATACTTAAAATAAAGATTTTATAAGCGTCTACGTTTTATGCAAATTAGTGAAAGGAAAGATGTATACTAAGATATAAATTAATAATAACTGAAGAACCTTAATCTGAAACAGATGGTAATCGAAGTAGTTGAGATTTTATTCCATGTTGTCTTTCACTTGGAGTATAAACGAACAGTTATTTATAGTTAATCTGTTAGCCGAATATGTCCAAAATTATTGGACAAATGCTGTTCGTGAAAACGTTTCATATTTGCTTAAATTAATGAATTCGACGGATAACAAACCATCATTTTCGTTTATGGATGAGAATAGACCAACTGATACTGTGAGAATGTTTGAATTGAATTCAATAGAAAACTTGTCGTTAAAAATGAGATTATCAACATTAAGTATGGATAGTATCAACAGTACAAATGAAAACGATGATTATTTATCAGCTTGCGATAGTCTAGATGAAGATAATGAACAAGACAATACTATATGGCAAAACCAATATTTTGATGAAAATGCTCTAAACAAAATTACAAACGAACGTTATATTATTGAAAATTTAACAGACCAGTGTAATTCAATGAGAAAAAATAGTTATCAATGTTCGATGGATAGTTTAGATTTAGAATGGAATACTCCCATTCATGTTCTTTATAACAACATTGAAAACTTACTAGAAAGTCGTAAGGTGGCATGGTTGAATAATCGCAACCTGTACATGAAGGAAAAGCATGATGATTCATTCTATATTCTGATTATTATTCGTTTGCTTTTACTTCCTTATCTCCTCTACAGAGAACTATGTATTTGCTTTTTATTTTCTATCCCATTTTGCATTCATCATTTTTTTATCTTTCGTCAACTGCATGGCACTAAAAATACAAATAACAAAAATGATAAATTGTCTTTATTTATTTTAGAACCAACTTCACAACAGCTACGAGCGACATCACCTGCAGTTATAAATTCAAATACGAGACCTGTATCACCTGTACGTTTAAGTGGAGCTTCGCCGTCGAGACATGGCTCCACAATTAATCCCGCTGTGACTACAATTAATTCAATAGCAAGATCTCGAGATGTATCACGTGAAAGAGAATTATACGATTACACAGATGTTGAAGTGATGGCAAAAGTACAACTAGAAAGTGCTGTAAAATATGTAATATTCTTTTATTACACTTTCTATGATTTGTTTTTTCTTTACATTTAGATTTGCGGCAAGCCGATAAACAAGGCCCATTATCAAAACGTCATGGTATGTATGATTTACCCCAAAATCTTAAAAAACTTTGCACATAAATGTTTTTTATATTTGTTGTGGTAGCATTTCTTAAGTTTTCCTTTTAGTTTAGAGAAAATTATGAGCCAGTGTTGATTAACAGTCTTATTTTAGCGTAATTGTAAAGAAGAGATGCTGCTGTGAGGATAATCTGGTTTAAAAACTTTTGTTTGCGCAGTGGTTTAGGACAAACTGACTGCTACTAAAAAAGTTTTCATAACAACCGCATCTAGGACTATTGGTCAGCACACTAATGTAGTCAGATTTTAAGTCATTTTGTAGATACGCTGCTATACTCTGAAAACTTTGCAAAATGTGTTTCTTACTTTCTCTGAACAGAAATTATAGCTTTGTTGCGTTATTTCCTCTTCGAGAACACTCTCGCGTGAAAAGATTCGCCAAAAAATCAATGTTAATCAGTGCTGCTTAGCATGTTATTAAGACGAAAAATAAATAACTGCTTCTTTCTAATGCATGTATTTGCCTTGGTATTAACACATTAGGATCCAATGATAGATAAAAGTACTAATTAATTAAATAGTCGCTGTTTTCTTATTCAAAGACACTACTTTGCATGCTAAATATTTTCACCGTGTTTGTACTTGCTGTGTTGAATATTTATACTATTTCAGGCGGTAGTTCAAACACTTTACTAAATACCGAATCTCGCGATTCATCTCCAACCTCCGCATTCGCTACTACTCCTGTGAGTAATGATATCAAACATCGTCAACAAAGTCCAAAAAATCATTTTAGCAATTCGCATAACCCCGTTTCGTATAATAGTACTAATACTGGTGCGCGAAACGGCCAATCAACACCAAAACGAAATTATTCTCCAAATCCAAGCACTACTGGACATGTACGAAAAAATTCATTTGTTGTTATGGAGTCACAATACGCCCATGTTTTACCATCGGTGTCACCTCGATCAGCATCACCGGCAGTACAGAACTGGAGTGGACGTACCACGCCCACAGTCCCTTCTCAGTTGAAAACATATATTGAAACCTCTCATATAAATACATCTGGATCATTTGATGTCAATGGCGATCAACAACAAAACCAAGCAAAAAAACATTCTTATGGACAACAAGGACGAAATTCTGCTGTTGAACTTAATCGTACACGTCCAACAACAAATTTTGCTTCTATAGCAACAAATAAATCAGGTGAAATCCTCTTACCGGAGGACACGTTTGCTTTACAAAAACTAGATGACACAATTATATATAAGCACATTGCATGTGAATTAGATTTTTTTAAAATTACTTGTTTTTACATAGCTGCACATGTGTGTGTGTTCTCACATAATAAAAAGCTCTTGTGTGTAATTTTATTGCTTTATGTAATGCAATATCAATATATTGATCCGCCCTGCTTTAAATTTTTTTGCAGGTGGTTCTAATATATCTTTGGCTTCAACAGTTAGCTATGCTTCATCTAATAGCAGCATAGCACCAACTTCAAGTGAGTTTATTTTATATCATAACAATAACAAAAAATGAAAAATATCATTTTAAAATATCACGGTGTTGATTTTGTATTCAGGATAGTTCCATAAGCTAAATTATCGTAGGCGTAAGCAAATTTTTTTGGTTTTGTGTTTGGATTGACCATTGAAGTTTTGGGCTGACTTAATTTGATTGATGTATATTTTTGTCTCTCATCAGGTATATCATCTAAAACAGAAACAGATTTATAGTGAGACAACTCAAGAGACGATAATTGGACTATACTATAACAAAAAAACAAAATTTTTTTCATTTCTAATCTTCTGATCAATCAGGGGTCAAACGGTGATAATCATGATAACGTTCGCTCTATTCCCTTCCACTATACTTTTGAAGCACACTTTTGCTTTTTAAAGAATGCGAGTAAACGTATATTTGTTTGTTATATGAATGGACATTAATGTACTGATTATACGTACTGTCGTTATTTTTTTGGTTATTCATTACAGTCGTGTATAAAATTCCCAAACCAATTATGCTTAATATCACTCGAATTCGCAAACACAGAGACAAAAAAGAGAGAATGAGAAAGAACTGAAAACATATAAATGTGTTTTCTTTTCTGTTGATTTAACTGGTGATTGTTTTTTTTGATAAAATTTATTTATAAATATATAAAAATATATAACATTTTCTTCTAGTTATTTTTTGTTTGATATTTATATAAAATTAATATTGCATATTGTCTAGTTTATAAGTCATTTTTTATGTTCTACTTACATAATGAACATATCTCTACTACACGTTGAGTTACACATGAGACAAATAATTATAATGTGTAAATTTATAATCACATCAACGTGTGTCTTATCAGTTTGTTCACGTAGTTTTCCACTTGACTTTAAATTTTTAGTTTTAGGTTATCACAGGATATCCACAGATACCACAAGTCTTTTGTTCTTTTTTGTGGTATCCTGCTCTTCAGTAACATAAAATCTTATCTTATCGTGACCGTGCTTTTTTTCTATGAAAAGAACTGAAAAAGTTCATGTAACTTTTCGCATTTCGAGATCAACAATGGATCCGTAAGGATGCGCGCATTGTTTGTGTTACATATGGAGTCGTGGGGGCTATTTTTAAACCGAAAAAATATTTAGTGCTCAAAAACTGCATTATGTAATTTTAATATAATTTTTTTTCAAATTTAATTCAATTTTGTTGATCCCATTCTTGTTTCAATAAGAATTACAGTTTATTTTGAAAATTTAATAAATAAAGAAGAGCTTTCTCTGATGATTAGTTTTTGGGGGTTATTTTTACTCCCATGCGCGTTCTTACGGATTAAATAGAAGCTACTATTACGAGTATATGATACCCTTATTTAGAGGAGGAAATGATTAGTCATATTGTACACATTCGTGAAAATAAAAATATTATATTGATTTTAAAAATACTTATTTCGTTCTGTAGCAATAAAATATCTAACATTTTATTGAAACTATGATGCAATTATTCTTGCCTCTTTAAAATTATCAAAAACTTTGTCATTAACACTTCCGTCTTTATACTTCTGAAGAGATTCAAGTTGATTAACAATTCTTCGTGTAAAGAAGAACGATAGTCATTAATATAAATGATTTGCTTAGCAACTCGTTCATGTTCTGGATAACAGAACTTAATCTAATCTAGGAATACTCTAACACATTTGAAGAGAAAATAATCACAGTATTTGTGTGTTGTTGTCTGTGCTTTTCAGTAGTGTCGACTTGCTTTTTCTTAGATCGCGTATAAATCTAAATACTAACAAATATTTTCTTTTTAATTTTTAGCAGTTCGCTCTTCTGTGCCAAATAAACCGCCAGTCGTTCCTAAAACAGTCACCAGGTAACCTACTTTCTTGGTAGTGAACAGAACTGAAACGTTTATTCTCGTATTCTAGAACAAATGCGGGAGCAGTAAAACAAAATTATCGTCGTGCATCAACACAACAAATCTCGACTACAAATAATTACAAAGTATCAGCCGTCGACAATGCCAATGTAAAATTGGATAATGGTCTACTGAAGCAAGCACCACGTCCAAATTTATTACAGTCAAATTATAGCAGACCATCAAAAACAGCTGTTCATCAAACATCCAACCGACCAGTACAGCCTTATCGCGGTTCATTAACTCAGGGTAAGAATTCGACTATTTCTTCTGACATTTTAAGAGCAGGGAGAAATGAAATATGATATTTTAGCTCCCACATACACTTCTCAAACAGACAACGATAATAATTCCAATGATGTCCAAGCAGTTAGCCATCAACAATCATCTGCTGCGGTACGCAGTACAAAAGTTCTAAAACGACAAAATCTCGGTTCTACATATAACACTAATCAATTAGCTGAAGCAACAGCTTATGCAAATAAAAATAACTTGTTAACTGATGTAATCAATAAACCGGTAGTGCCTGTTCGTGCTGTATTACCACAACGTCGTGCAGTTCTTCCACAATCATCCACACATTCATCCAATGAACAAATACCACCAACTAACGTTGAAACAAATGATACAATACCGCGCAGTTCATCAAGTTTGAGTCAAGGAAGAAAAAGTGCACTGCCGATGCCTGTAGCAAATCAATTGAAACAGCCGAATGTTACCTCTGTTTCACGGTAAATGTTTTTTCTGTAACTTAATTCACAACCATGAATCTTGGAGATAACACTTGAATTTTGTTTTTCGGTGTTGATTGATCCATCAAATGTTTATTGAAATCCTATCTATTTATTAATTTCAGTCATCATTCTCTATCGCGTCCTCGATAAAATAAGGATGGAGGACATTTCTGTAAGTAGTAGAGAGAAGCAATATAGAACGTTAACAAATACAACTAACACTAGAAAACAGTACAAAGATCGCCTAGAACGCTTTCTTATGCATGCATGTATTTTGCTCATTTTTTAATATAAATTTATGTTACTACTTACGAGGGAACCTCCCGAGGTGATAAATCGCTTTTTGATCGACATCTAGTGGTTTATAGGTTATCGATCATGCTGATTCCGAATATGACCATGGGACTTCCCCATAGCTCTTCGAAGATCCAGTCTTCTGGAAAATCAGTTTTTCAGAAACCCCAAAAAATAACCCAAGCCTTTCTGAATAATGCAGGATTGTAATCCGCAAATTTCTGATTAAAATGAAACATCCCCCAGCCCTTTCTTTGCAAAGTTATAGAATTTATAAGAAGAGACCTAAATTGTTCATTGTCAGCTGAAAGCTACAGAAATCAGAAGGAAAAAAATTAATTTAGGGCTCTTCTTATAAATTCTATAACTTTGCAAAGAAAGGGCTGGGGGGTGTTTCATTTTAATCAGAAATTTGCGGACTACAATCCTGCATTATTCAGAAAGGCTTGGGTTATTTTTTGGGGTTTCTGAAAAACTGATTTTCCAGAAGACTGGATCTTCGAAGAGCTATCGGGAAGTCCCATGGTCATATTCGGAATCAGCATGATCGATAACCTATAAACCACTAGATGTCGATCAGAAAGCGATTTATCACCTCGGGAGGTTCCCTCGTTAGACGACTTATTTGAAAAGATCAGTCTTGTTTTTGGTTTATACTAGTCATATGTATCTTTTTCTCGAAAAAAAAATCTTACAAAAGTATGAATTCTTGAGATGATTGATATTTAGATCAAGCTCAGAAATTCTGACGAATTTTTGATCGTTTTCATGATTTTGTTTTCATTTTAGCTACGCATCTTCAAATATAATTCCATCCTCTCAATCATCAGATAGTGTTGGCAAGTCTGAACCCTCTATTCAACATCAACAGGGAAAAATACCGGATAATATGTCACCATCTCAATCTTGGAACGAAGGATGTTATTAATTAGTGGAGAAAATAATTTTATGCATGTTTTCTTTTAAATCTGTGCTAATCTGGTACTCACTAACTGACAATTTGATCTCTCAATGGTGACATTTCTCTTTCTTTTGTACTTTGTTTTATTTATCTTTCTATAGATAAAAGTCCCTAATTGTATAGATCATTGTTCCTGTGAGCATGTGCATGTGTGTCTGTGTGTCTGTGTGTCAGAGAATACAGTAACAGTCATTCAAATATTAACAAGAAAGTTCTAATCGAGTTTTCTTTTTTGTACAATACACCTCTTGTCTATTTTTATGTTTATGTTAGTGCATTTCTCATTGCTTTATCTCATTTGCTTAATTCTCGACAATTAATTAGCAAACTTGTCAGAGCAAAACTCACACATACACACACACACACACATGTACACACAGTCAACCTTATTTTTGTTTTTTTGCAGTGTCGATTATAACAATTTTTTTTGATAACGAGAGAAAATCACAAAGATTAAATATATTTTGATAAAATAAGCACCTTTCTTTTATATGAGTTTTTTTGAAATTGTATGTAGTTATTGTATGTATATATATATATATATATATACAGTCCATATTGCGGTGTTCATATTCTTTTTCTATTTTACTAATTATATAGATTTGATTTTCATACGAAGTCGGATCCAAATTATTGTTGACTCTTGATTACTTTTAGTTCGCAATTGACTTCATTTTATTTTTATTAAAATGTTTCGATTACACTTGTGATCTTCTTCAATTGAATTAAAAATGATAAAATGACTGTAATTAAACATTGATATAGGATTGAACAAAACAAACACATACTTTTTTATTCCAAAGTCAAAAGAAACTCATAGTTTCAGTAAAAGTATATACAGTTAATGTCGAAATTATTTTATGACATGGACTGACTAAGCTTTGTGTTTTTGTTTTATATGACTCACAAAAACAAATAGAAAATTCTTCAACGTTATCTTTTCGTATGACAATCGTGTTGTTAACCAACGATACATGATGAAAAACAAAATGAAAAAATAAAACTAAAGATAATAATTTATCACATCCCATTTTTCTATTCAAAAGATGATTTCTGGAATTTAGAATATCTATTCATCATGGTTATTAGCTTTTCAAACATTATATAAAAGTTCAAACTTCAAGATCGAATTGTTTACTAATTAATACGATAAATATTCATTTTTTTTAATCATAGTCATTTTATCATTGTTAATCATAGATGCAATAAAAGTATTTTCATACAAATAAATAATTAATTCAACTATGAAGTGAAAGTATTCAAGTTCAATAAAAAAAAAATTGTTTTTTTTTATTTAACTTAAAATAGTCTATAATAAAAAAGATTCTATAAATTTTACGTAAACAACGAATAACAGTTTTTGGTTTGTTTTTGGAATCTCTTCCTTTTGTTTCATTTTTTTTTCTGAAATTCATATAAATATTAAGATTAAGTATTTCTATGAAATTCGTATTTTAAATAAAAATATCAGATGAATGACAGTGATACAAGTGCTAAGAGCAACATCAAGTTCTTCTCTTTCGACTGTTGCTGCATTTTATGGTCGATCAACTTGGTCAGCTAGTCGAATTCAACGTACTAGTTTGCATACATACTATTCATTCTTCAGTAAAAGCCACGCTCATCAATTCAAACTAGTTGAGATTTAAGCAAAATGTATATCCACAGTAGGTTCCACTTTGAACTTTAACCTGTTATAAAATGTCCGACAATTCCGTCATAAAAATCTACACACAAAACAACTTTTGTCAGCATTGACGTACTATTTATCGTACTCGGAAATTCTCTCTCCTCACTCCGCTAAACCTGTCATAACGTGCAATTTGTGATAATTCCGCTGTAAATCCACAAGAATTCTTCAAAATCCAAGAACTATAATATTATAGGTGAGCGTTAAGTTTTTCGGAGGGAATTCGTTTTCGAGCATTTTATACGGGAAATTATTTTCTCGTAAGAAATTTTATTACCAGCGAAAATTGGGCATTTTCAGTATACGGCTAATCAACTAGGGTTTATAGACAAAAAATAGCGTATCCATGGGGAAATTTTGTCGAAGTTTCACAACAGTGCGATCGTCCAGTTGCAGCATCAAATGCGTAGTCACATATGAACTTTCTATAATTTCACACGCGTTCACAAGCGAGAATTTCTTTTCACGTGTGTTCACACACCGTTTTACAACTTTCACTAGTGATCACGTACAAAAAATATGACGCGAAAAGTTTCCGTGAGCAGTTCACGCGTTGTTACAAGTGGGATATATTTTTTACACTGCCCACACACCGTGTTACGACGTTCACGCGCGACCACAGTTCATTTCACGATATTCACAGATGCTCACGCCATTTTATATACTAAAACTTTTCCACGGGTATCGTAAGAATTTTGATAACTCCTCCGTAAATTCACAAAAATTTTCGAGAATTTCAGCAGAAATTCCTCCATGAGATCGATGATCTTTTACACACACAGAAAACATGTGTAGATATTTTTTTCCTAAATGAACAGTTGAAATACGGGAAAATATGAAGTGAATGCCCATATTATCAAGAGTGACTTGGAGGTTGGTGAATGACGCGTACAGTTGTTCATCCAAACAACACAGAAAAACTTCGTCGACTAGAGCTGAACATAGTTGAAGCGGCCCAGTCGTTTATTCATTCAATTAGCGTACATAGCAGAAAAAAATAACTATTACCTTATGAAATCAATAAATGGTGATGCAAGACACACCTAAGACATATATTTATGAGACATATTACAGATCGTTGAACTTAGCATTCTAAGATATGAAAAAATGTTATTTGAAACAGCAAGAAAAATACAGTAGAACAAAAGGCAGGTGTCGAATAAATTATGCTTGCTTTTGGAAGATTTTTATTTTCCAGCCCAAGCATTGAATCGTCGACCTTCTCGTAAATGCAATGGTACCGATCGTTTACCAGCCCATGCATTAAATCGTCGTTTTATCGGAACCATACGTTTACCAGCCCATGCATTGAAACGCCTTTTTTCAAACTCAAGTTCTTCTGAATTTTGATTTCCATCGTGGCCATTTTCGTGAAAGAGAGAATAGAATTTTGTTGGATGTAAATTTTCTAATTTTGATAGTAATGACGGATCTTGTCGTAAAATATGAATTTCTTGTTCATCACTATGATTAATAGGCTTTCCATCTTGATGTTCAACGGCAGATGATTGCATGAAGGTTAACTATAGCGAAAGCAAACATTTTGAGAAAGATTTTCTTTTCGATGAGAAAATGTTGTTCTTACCATTAAAAATATCCAACATACAACACCGGGCAGTATCATATCGATTTTCATTTTTCTACTATTTTTCTAATAATCTGAAGTAAAAAAAGTAAAAGTATAAAAAAATAATAAGACGTACTGAAAATAACAGAAATCCATCAATTGTGTGTCGATAGAGTAAATAAACTTACTATAAGCTTTTTTCTTATAAGGACAAAATCATTAGTTCAAAATTACGAACAATAACGGGAAAACTGGTGCAGAATCACAATAAACAGTACAGGAAAAAGAATTCTTGTTAGATGAAGTATAATCCCAAAATGGTAAACGTATTTTCATTCGCATAGGTGTTAACTATTGTATTCAGATTGTTTTTGTTTACTAGCTAAAACAACACAGTTGATGAAACGATAGCAAAAACAGCTTGTAGATCAATTATAATTAAGGGTATTATTAATCAAGTAAGAAACTATGAACAAGCATTCGTCAAATCAACTATCACCTAGAATTTTGCGAAACGTTTTACATACTGCATCAGCGTAGGAAGAGATTCAAGTTGATTAACAATTCTTCGTGTAAAGAAGAACGATAGTCATTAATATAAATGATTTGCTTAGCAACTCGTTCATGTTCTGGATAACAGAACTTAATCTAATCTAGGAATACTCTAACACATTTGAAGAGAAAATAATCACAGTATTTGTGTGTTGTTGTCTGTGCTTTTCAGTAGTGTCGACTTGCTTTTTCTTAGATCGCGTATAAATCTAAATACTAACAAATATTTTCTTTTTAATTTTTAGCAGTTCGCTCTTCTGTGCCAAATAAACCGCCAGTCGTTCCTAAAACAGTCACCAGGTAACCTACTTTCTTGGTAGTGAACAGAACTGAAACGTTTATTCTCGTATTCTAGAACAAATGCGGGAGCAGTAAAACAAAATTATCGTCGTGCATCAACACAACAAATCTCGACTACAAATAATTACAAAGTATCAGCCGTCGACAATGCCAATGTAAAATTGGATAATGGTCTACTGAAGCAAGCACCACGTCCAAATTTATTACAGTCAAATTATAGCAGACCATCAAAAACAGCTGTTCATCAAACATCCAACCGACCAGTACAGCCTTATCGCGGTTCATTAACTCAGGGTAAGAATTCGACTATTTCTTCTGACATTTTAAGAGCAGGGAGAAATGAAATATGATATTTTAGCTCCCACATACACTTCTCAAACAGACAACGATAATAATTCCAATGATGTCCAAGCAGTTAGCCATCAACAATCATCTGCTGCGGTACGCAGTACAAAAGTTCTAAAACGACAAAATCTCGGTTCTACATATAACACTAATCAATTAGCTGAAGCAACAGCTTATGCAAATAAAAATAACTTGTTAACTGATGTAATCAATAAACCGGTAGTGCCTGTTCGTGCTGTATTACCACAACGTCGTGCAGTTCTTCCACAATCATCCACACATTCATCCAATGAACAAATACCACCAACTAACGTTGAAACAAATGATACAATACCGCGCAGTTCATCAAGTTTGAGTCAAGGAAGAAAAAGTGCACTGCCGATGCCTGTAGCAAATCAATTGAAACAGCCGAATGTTACCTCTGTTTCACGGTAAATGTTTTTTCTGTAACTTAATTCACAACCATGAATCTTGGAGATAACACTTGAATTTTGTTTTTCGGTGTTGATTGATCCATCAAATGTTTATTGAAATCCTATCTATTTATTAATTTCAGTCATCATTCTCTATCGCGTCCTCGATAAAATAAGGATGGAGGACATTTCTGTAAGTAGTAGAGAGAAGCAATATAGAACGTTAACAAATACAACTAACACTAGAAAACAGTACAAAGATCGCCTAGAACGCTTTCTTATGCATGCATGTATTTTGCTCATTTTTTAATATAAATTTATGTTACTACTTACGAGGGAACCTCCCGAGGTGATAAATCGCTTTTTGATCGACATCTAGTGGTTTATAGGTTATCGATCATGCTGATTCCGAATATGACCATGGGACTTCCCCATAGCTCTTCGAAGATCCAGTCTTCTGGAAAATCAGTTTTTCAGAAACCCCAAAAAATAACCCAAGCCTTTCTGAATAATGCAGGATTGTAATCCGCAAATTTCTGATTAAAATGAAACATCCCCCAGCCCTTTCTTTGCAAAGTTATAGAATTTATAAGAAGAGACCTAAATTGTTCATTGTCAGCTGAAAGCTACAGAAATCAGAAGGAAAAAAATTAATTTAGGGCTCTTCTTATAAATTCTATAACTTTGCAAAGAAAGGGCTGGGGGGTGTTTCATTTTAATCAGAAATTTGCGGACTACAATCCTGCATTATTCAGAAAGGCTTGGGTTATTTTTTGGGGTTTCTGAAAAACTGATTTTCCAGAAGACTGGATCTTCGAAGAGCTATCGGGAAGTCCCATGGTCATATTCGGAATCAGCATGATCGATAACCTATAAACCACTAGATGTCGATCAGAAAGCGATTTATCACCTCGGGAGGTTCCCTCGTTAGACGACTTATTTGAAAAGATCAGTCTTGTTTTTGGTTTATACTAGTCATATGTATCTTTTTCTCGAAAAAAAAATCTTACAAAAGTATGAATTCTTGAGATGATTGATATTTAGATCAAGCTCAGAAATTCTGACGAATTTTTGATCGTTTTCATGATTTTGTTTTCATTTTAGCTACGCATCTTCAAATATAATTCCATCCTCTCAATCATCAGATAGTGTTGGCAAGTCTGAACCCTCTATTCAACATCAACAGGGAAAAATACCGGATAATATGTCACCATCTCAATCTTGGAACGAAGGATGTTATTAATTAGTGGAGAAAATAATTTTATGCATGTTTTCTTTTAAATCTGTGCTAATCTGGTACTCACTAACTGACAATTTGATCTCTCAATGGTGACATTTCTCTTTCTTTTGTACTTTGTTTTATTTATCTTTCTATAGATAAAAGTCCCTAATTGTATAGATCATTGTTCCTGTGAGCATGTGCATGTGTGTCTGTGTGTCTGTGTGTCAGAGAATACAGTAACAGTCATTCAAATATTAACAAGAAAGTTCTAATCGAGTTTTCTTTTTTGTACAATACACCTCTTGTCTATTTTTATGTTTATGTTAGTGCATTTCTCATTGCTTTATCTCATTTGCTTAATTCTCGACAATTAATTAGCAAACTTGTCAGAGCAAAACTCACACATACACACACACACACACATGTACACACAGTCAACCTTATTTTTGTTTTTTTGCAGTGTCGATTATAACAATTTTTTTTGATAACGAGAGAAAATCACAAAGATTAAATATATTTTGATAAAATAAGCACCTTTCTTTTATATGAGTTTTTTTGAAATTGTATGTAGTTATTGTATGTATATATATATATATATATATACAGTCCATATTGCGGTGTTCATATTCTTTTTCTATTTTACTAATTATATAGATTTGATTTTCATACGAAGTCGGATCCAAATTATTGTTGACTCTTGATTACTTTTAGTTCGCAATTGACTTCATTTTATTTTTATTAAAATGTTTCGATTACACTTGTGATCTTCTTCAATTGAATTAAAAATGATAAAATGACTGTAATTAAACATTGATATAGGATTGAACAAAACAAACACATACTTTTTTATTCCAAAGTCAAAAGAAACTCATAGTTTCAGTAAAAGTATATACAGTTAATGTCGAAATTATTTTATGACATGGACTGACTAAGCTTTGTGTTTTTGTTTTATATGACTCACAAAAACAAATAGAAAATTCTTCAACGTTATCTTTTCGTATGACAATCGTGTTGTTAACCAACGATACATGATGAAAAACAAAATGAAAAAATAAAACTAAAGATAATAATTTATCACATCCCATTTTTCTATTCAAAAGATGATTTCTGGAATTTAGAATATCTATTCATCATGGTTATTAGCTTTTCAAACATTATATAAAAGTTCAAACTTCAAGATCGAATTGTTTACTAATTAATACGATAAATATTCATTTTTTTTAATCATAGTCATTTTATCATTGTTAATCATAGATGCAATAAAAGTATTTTCATACAAATAAATAATTAATTCAACTATGAAGTGAAAGTATTCAAGTTCAATAAAAAAAAAATTGTTTTTTTTTATTTAACTTAAAATAGTCTATAATAAAAAAGATTCTATAAATTTTACGTAAACAACGAATAACAGTTTTTGGTTTGTTTTTGGAATCTCTTCCTTTTGTTTCATTTTTTTTTCTGAAATTCATATAAATATTAAGATTAAGTATTTCTATGAAATTCGTATTTTAAATAAAAATATCAGATGAATGACAGTGATACAAGTGCTAAGAGCAACATCAAGTTCTTCTCTTTCGACTGTTGCTGCATTTTATGGTCGATCAACTTGGTCAGCTAGTCGAATTCAACGTACTAGTTTGCATACATACTATTCATTCTTCAGTAAAAGCCACGCTCATCAATTCAAACTAGTTGAGATTTAAGCAAAATGTATATCCACAGTAGGTTCCACTTTGAACTTTAACCTGTTATAAAATGTCCGACAATTCCGTCATAAAAATCTACACACAAAACAACTTTTGTCAGCATTGACGTACTATTTATCGTACTCGGAAATTCTCTCTCCTCACTCCGCTAAACCTGTCATAACGTGCAATTTGTGATAATTCCGCTGTAAATCCACAAGAATTCTTCAAAATCCAAGAACTATAATATTATAGGTGAGCGTTAAGTTTTTCGGAGGGAATTCGTTTTCGAGCATTTTATACGGGAAATTATTTTCTCGTAAGAAATTTTATTACCAGCGAAAATTGGGCATTTTCAGTATACGGCTAATCAACTAGGGTTTATAGACAAAAAATAGCGTATCCATGGGGAAATTTTGTCGAAGTTTCACAACAGTGCGATCGTCCAGTTGCAGCATCAAATGCGTAGTCACATATGAACTTTCTATAATTTCACACGCGTTCACAAGCGAGAATTTCTTTTCACGTGTGTTCACACACCGTTTTACAACTTTCACTAGTGATCACGTACAAAAAATATGACGCGAAAAGTTTCCGTGAGCAGTTCACGCGTTGTTACAAGTGGGATATATTTTTTACACTGCCCACACACCGTGTTACGACGTTCACGCGCGACCACAGTTCATTTCACGATATTCACAGATGCTCACGCCATTTTATATACTAAAACTTTTCCACGGGTATCGTAAGAATTTTGATAACTCCTCCGTAAATTCACAAAAATTTTCGAGAATTTCAGCAGAAATTCCTCCATGAGATCGATGATCTTTTACACACACAGAAAACATGTGTAGATATTTTTTTCCTAAATGAACAGTTGAAATACGGGAAAATATGAAGTGAATGCCCATATTATCAAGAGTGACTTGGAGGTTGGTGAATGACGCGTACAGTTGTTCATCCAAACAACACAGAAAAACTTCGTCGACTAGAGCTGAACATAGTTGAAGCGGCCCAGTCGTTTATTCATTCAATTAGCGTACATAGCAGAAAAAAATAACTATTACCTTATGAAATCAATAAATGGTGATGCAAGACACACCTAAGACATATATTTATGAGACATATTACAGATCGTTGAACTTAGCATTCTAAGATATGAAAAAATGTTATTTGAAACAGCAAGAAAAATACAGTAGAACAAAAGGCAGGTGTCGAATAAATTATGCTTGCTTTTGGAAGATTTTTATTTTCCAGCCCAAGCATTGAATCGTCGACCTTCTCGTAAATGCAATGGTACCGATCGTTTACCAGCCCATGCATTAAATCGTCGTTTTATCGGAACCATACGTTTACCAGCCCATGCATTGAAACGCCTTTTTTCAAACTCAAGTTCTTCTGAATTTTGATTTCCATCGTGGCCATTTTCGTGAAAGAGAGAATAGAATTTTGTTGGATGTAAATTTTCTAATTTTGATAGTAATGACGGATCTTGTCGTAAAATATGAATTTCTTGTTCATCACTATGATTAATAGGCTTTCCATCTTGATGTTCAACGGCAGATGATTGCATGAAGGTTAACTATAGCGAAAGCAAACATTTTGAGAAAGATTTTCTTTTCGATGAGAAAATGTTGTTCTTACCATTAAAAATATCCAACATACAACACCGGGCAGTATCATATCGATTTTCATTTTTCTACTATTTTTCTAATAATCTGAAGTAAAAAAAGTAAAAGTATAAAAAAATAATAAGACGTACTGAAAATAACAGAAATCCATCAATTGTGTGTCGATAGAGTAAATAAACTTACTATAAGCTTTTTTCTTATAAGGACAAAATCATTAGTTCAAAATTACGAACAATAACGGGAAAACTGGTGCAGAATCACAATAAACAGTACAGGAAAAAGAATTCTTGTTAGATGAAGTATAATCCCAAAATGGTAAACGTATTTTCATTCGCATAGGTGTTAACTATTGTATTCAGATTGTTTTTGTTTACTAGCTAAAACAACACAGTTGATGAAACGATAGCAAAAACAGCTTGTAGATCAATTATAATTAAGGGTATTATTAATCAAGTAAGAAACTATGAACAAGCATTCGTCAAATCAACTATCACCTAGAATTTTGCGAAACGTTTTACATACTGCATCAGCGTAGGAAGAAGAATGAAATTGTAATCGTAAACTAAAAAATAATGTCAAGCAGACAAAGGGACTTGAAATCCATGGTTACAGGATGATGGTGACAAGACTTGATGTCTATGTTATTCGTCATATACTTTAGAAGTATTGCATTCAAACCTCAATGCCGACAAGTTATGCAGTTGACTATTATCAGCTTCGAAGGAGATATTGAACTACTCGAAACTAACAAATCTACCTTGTAGTACCTCACATAGACAATAGTAGCTGCAAGACGGGACATTCTTTTGTCTTCTCAAGAAGTAATAATTAGTTCAAAGTACTTGCTTATAAACCGATGCATTTGACCCAAATACAGTCTACTCTGAAGATCTTAAAAAATGTATGTTTTTCCTAAGTTTTCTGATAAGCATAAAAAATGATCAGTTTCTCCTACTATAAAGCAATGATATTAGAGGTGCACCATAAAAGTGTGACCTGTAAAAATGAACTTTAAAATAGAGTGATTTAGTCTATTATTTTCGTTCTAAGTTCTTATTTTCCTTTTCTTTTTGTTAACCTGTTAAAATAAATGAACTAGATATCTTACCTTTCTTAAAAAATATACTAGAATCTTAGAAATGTATTGAATCTTACTAACTCTCTTATTCAAAAAAAAAAAATTTGTTTGTTTGTTTAGCAATAACATGTTATTATAATTTTTCACAATAGATAAGTTTCCCGCTTATTATCATCATCATCATATTACCATTCTAGCAGATGTATATATACATAGACAACAATCCTAGCCGATTGAATAGACAACTTTTTTATATTTTTCTTCTTTTCGTTTAAAGCGACTCGCATACTCGGAAAGAAGAATGTAGGCAGATCAATCTGTGATAAATTTAATATTCGTGTTCGAGGTGTATATTATTTTGACTCACCACTCAACTAATCAGTGATGAATTGCAAATTACTGATTGATTGGGAATAATAAATCTCGAGTAGAAGAACTGTATTCTCTCATTCTCTTCTTTCCCGTATTAATTATTCAAACAAATGTTTAATATTTTATTGGAAACTACTCTCTATGTCTCAAATATGAATAACAATAACAGTTCTGTTCCAATTAGTAAAAGAGAAAAAAAGGAGTGTAGAATAGCAAAAAGAGGCGTAAAAAGAACAACATTTGTATTTACAATAAACTCTTCGATGTTATTGATTGATAAGACACAATGAAAAATTTTTCGCTTCTTTTCCTCAATTTAACATTTACTTAAAATTGGAACGGTGTAAACCTAATAATCTTTAAGCTATTGATTTCATATTATATCGATACATTAGGATTCAGTTTTTTAATCTATTGTAGCATTTTTCCGATGAAAATCTCTCAAATTAAATTTTGTTCGTCTAAGCTAAGTTACGACGAAAATAGCAGAATGTCTTCGATTCTCACCAACTGTTACGAGTTATGGTAAAAACTCACTCGTTTACTTTTTGTCACAAGGTTATAGTTTAAGTCCGTATTGTATTGCCAGAAAAGAACTCATTATTAGGTTGAGTTTGAGTCTCTGGTATGTTGAACTTCAGTTTTCTCTCTTCACTTAACACTTTTTTGAGAATCTTTGAACTTTTTCTTTTTTCATCTCAAAACGTAATCAAACGAAAGAAAACTAAAAAGCCCCCTTTGTGATGGAAAAAATAGACAGCTTTTTTTACGCTTTTCGATTTCTGAAATGTTCATTTGTTTTTTCTCTTGAGACAAAAGCGTTTTTTATGTTCATAACGTCTACTAAACAGATAAACTCAAATTTAGCATGGTAATGGTTCTATGCTATACTTTGACAATTGTAAGATATATCGTTTGTTGTTATTTGGTCAACTCAGAGACGAGAAAGTTAAAAAGTTAGCAAATAGTATTTATTAATTATTAATTCAGCAAATGGCAATATATTTGATCGTTATCACTGTTTTCGTTTGCGTTTAATCGTTCGTTTGATAGGTCTTGCTTCTAATGATGAAGTTGCTTTCTATCATTTTCTTCATCATAAGTGCCTACTTACTAGACAAGTAGAAAAACGATTGTTTCAAGTAGATTCGACACTTTAAAACTATGGTTCTTATATTACAAGAGGAAAACAAGGTCTTACATAAATTCTATGTTTAATAATGACTATGAGGTCGAAGTATCACAAAGAAATACAAATAAAATATAAAAGATAATTATGTTGAAGAAAGAACGTTCTGATAACAATAGCTTATATTAAATATTATTTACAGTTAACAATTCTTCTATAACTAAAAAAGGCACGATTCTAACGCGTATACTAAAGTCATAGGACGAATGAAACTGTAATGAATTTGTAGAACAGACCTTTCGGTTTAAAAGAAAACAATGAATACAACTTTTTGGGACGTCGCATTAGGAAGTTGTAAATATTTTTCCATAAGTCTTAAATGCTTCAATGCATTTAATACACATCGTATTCTCTCATTAATGTTTATATTGTAAGTGGCGTTCATTTGAACTACAAAAGTCTTTTGTCTCACAGGACATGAAAAAGAAATGTCAAAATATTACTAAAAAATAGTGGTATAATTCTTCCATGACGTTGTTTTATTGTTGATGCAATTAACTGTTTTTGTATCGGGGCAAGCACATAGTTTGACTTTAGTAATTCGTTATACTGAAATACGTTTGTTTCATTTATTTATTGTGATACTATTTTATCCTATTCCTTGGTTTAGTAACTCCGTATATGTGTTGTTACTGATGATAAGTGTTTTTAAACGCTCTCAATGTTTTGTCAATGTGAAATAAATTTGAGATTAGTCCTTTTGGTTTGTAGCACTTTTGTTCCTCTGCTCTTCTCTATAACTCATACATTTTCGAAATATGGAATACATCGGATGAATGAATAATGGAAGTGTTTTACTGTTACTTTTATTACAAATGGTGATCCCGAGTCTTTTGCTTCGATAAAAGAATGATGCGTAACACTTGTTATGAAAAGTCCTTACTACCTATAATACCAAATTACTCTCCTCTCTTCTTATTACACTGCGACTTGTGTATCTAAGATAAAAGAAATGGTCTACTGTTTCACTTTATAAATAAAGGCACAGATCGTCATTTTTTAACATTCATAAAGGCATGTCGTTTTAATAAATCGAGCTTCAATATGGAAAAATCACATCTCATATAGTCAACACACAATATCAACTATTAGCATCCAATTACTTTTTGTTTTGACTGTTGACTCAAATAATTTTAATACTTCTTTAATAAATATCGTTAATTTATTTATTTGATATATAATTCTAAAGATTAGCTATTCCACATGGGTATCAATTCTTTTGATCACCAAAAAAGTGACTTTTGATCACCAAATTTATTAGCAGTGAAATGATCACCAAAAAATAAGACTTTTGATTACCAAATCAATTAGAGACATTTAAATTAAAGAAAGTATATACAAGAAGAATATATATACAACAATAAATAGAAACAGAGCAGAAAAAACTAATCACCAAACCACTTAATTAAAAAGAAAATTTAAATTAAAGAAAAAATATACAACAAAAAAACTAACTATATGCCAACAAAGCCGTACGAACCTTTCGGACGACCAGTCCGTTAACAAACATTTGTTCCATTTTTGGTAGAAACGCCGATAAATGTAACTTATTACGGAGTGTATACTTTTGTTTTATAATGGCATTCATCGATTGTTTACCAAACGCAGCACCCTCATACCTAAATGAAAGTAACTGGATTAGTCTTAAGCATACAAATTGGTTCTATTTTCTTACCAATAGAGTAATTTTGCTATCCATTGATCAGCGAAGTAATCCGAAAATTTCTTCGTTGTTGGAGTGGCATTCCATTTTTGCATTAGTAAATCAATATTACGATTGAACACGTCATCTGAAAAAGAAAGTTGAACGACATGAACATCCGCATCAATATTTACCCACTGTTCTTTTGTGACTAAATTACGACGTAGTCTGCATTTTTGGATCATGTAGAACCAGCACATCATACGGCGACTGTGTGGAAACACCGTCTGCTGAGAACTTGTGATACCTAAATAATAAACTGAATAGGTGAAGATAACAGATAAAAAAACATGGCATACCTAATACTCCATCGGCCATCACGTGATTAATTAAGCATGGCTGATTGAATTCTTGCACAGCTAACGCATTAATTGATGTAAATAATTGGTTATAACATTTGGCATTTTCATCATGAGAAATTAATGCTACACCAAACGGCTTGAAATGACAATGGGCATCGGTTCATCCAAAAACCAAAAGTAGCAATTCAATCCGCGTAATTTTGTATGTTGCGTCAACTTGCAGATATGTTGTGAGCCGAATTTGTTGAAAGAAACATTCGTCGTAAAAAAAAACAGAAATACTATTAATGTCATCAATCGTATAAAAAGGCACCAAAGTGCAATGTGGCTGCTTAGCGTCATTATGTTGAATATACCAGTTTCGTAAATTGAAAACTGAAAAAATCTCTGGCCTATCGTTTCGTATATTCGTACGATACTAAATTAATTAACTTTGTTTACGTTATTGGAGCATTTGGATGATCTTGACCTAATGATGACTTAATTTGTGTTTGTGATAATCCATATTTAACATATGTTGACACCGATTTCCGAATGGGTGATGGTAAACGTGTTGTAGGATTGCGTTCTTTTTGTTCGTGTTTATGTTCATTTCTGGACATGATCACCAGTGATTGTGGATTACTATCCGGCACAATTATCTGAATTTCAAAAGAACAAAACGAATACTTTCTATACTAACTGCATTTTAACGAATATTTTGTATGATTTTTTAAATCTGATCCACGATATTGGCAAACATTAAACTGTTTTGCGTTCATACTTCTTTATATTCTTTTTCTTGTCTGCCCACTAATTAATTTGCGATTATATTGTTATATATTCTTCTTATATATACTTTCTTTAGTTTAAATTTCTTTAATTGATTCAAAAGTCTTATTTTTTGGTGCTCATGTCGCTGCTAATAAATTTGGTGATCAAAACACATTTATCTCGTTCCACATTAAATGAAGTTTTACTAAAATCTGACTCCATGCTTTACAACAAATTATTTCTAATAACATAATGGTATAAATAATGATTATGTATAACAAGTTTAAACACTTTACGAAGACAATAAATTGAGGCAAAATATGTATTAAAAGTCAACTTTCTTATTATCCTCATATAATCACTGCTCTGTCGAACTTTTCAATAGTGAAATGATGGATGGTTTTCTCTTCCAAGAGAAAAAGTCAAGGTTTTCCACTATTATTGTTTATGATGAAAACTATTTGTGTTGTTAATACGCAAACAATATACTCATTTTTCAGTTTATTTACATAAATCTTGAACGATTTTCGTTAAATGGAAGTATTTATTATGATTGTCATTGTTTAATGTAGTATCTTAATGTTTTATCCATTTGTTCCACTAAATACCATAGTTATGTTTCTTCAGGAAAACATGTGAGTTCACAAGCGTGTGAATTGTTATTCAATAAATGTTTTTTTTCGAAAAGAAAAATTATTTTTAAAATTTGCTGATGTTATTAGGAACAGTGATACGCCGATCACTGTTCGAATTGCATATCAAGAGCAAAGGAAAGAAAATTTCAAAATTGTCATCATGAATTTTTATAGCTTAAAACAGGATGGTTTTAGTTTGTACCGTTCAGAATGTTTGTGTCATTTGTAACTTCTAGACGAAAAAAATTCATGACCTACTTTGACCCTGTTTTAATCGATCTCTAACATTTTAGTCGAGATTCGACACATCATATTAAATGTTATACTCGGAGAGCAGTATCTTCTATTACAGCATACAGAATAACATAATTCTTTAACATTACCGTAAGTAATTATATTATTCGTGCGGAAATATTGTTACTGCATAATATAACAGTTTATACATAAGTTTTGCACAAAATGTCGAGCGCCGTTTCTTCATGTTGACACTATTCTGAAGATGTAACTTTTTTTTTGTTTGAAAGAGCAAAATCTGAACTACACAATGTGTATCAAACAAAATTTTCTCGCGCAAGACTTTATTGAGAAAAAATTCAAAAACTAAGCATCACTACAAATGTTCTGGTAAATTGTTAAAATGTCTGTTCTCTCTTCTTCGAAAACGTTCTTTTCTTGTTTAAAGATAAGTTTGAAGAATAGCTGATTATTACATCTAAGAGTGGATGCAAAAGCTTGACTTTCAAAACAGCTGACTTTTTGAAAGCGTTTCAGAAAACCACTAAAAAGAAACCTGAAATTTCTTTTAAGGGGATCGAGGTGACAGAATTTTTCACGAGCTATTTTTTCATGCATTTGGTTTCAGTAAAAAGTGATTATTTTTGACACCAGTAAAAAGATTTTCTTGATATGTTTAATAAAATTTTGCTAGAACGTTTGTAGTGATGTTTAGTTTTTGAATTTTTTCTTAATAAAGTTTAGCGAGAGAAAATTTTGTTTGATGCACATTTTGTAGTTCAGACTTTACTCTTTCAAACAAAAAAAGAAAAGCGAAATCTTCAGAATAGTGTCGACATGAAGAAACGGTGCTCGACATTTTATGCAAAACTTATGTATAGGCCGTTAATTCATTACTTACCTCATTTAAACAGTATAAGAACTTTTTTAGAAGAATACTATAAAACAATATGTTACAGTGTAATTTCAAATGATTAAATAATTAGTCATAAAAGCAAATAGATAAGATAAGTATGCGCCAAGAGTCATACATCTATGAACGTAGGCCTAATGAGAGATGCATTTAAAATACGAATAAAAATAGTAAAAAAACAATTTTGTTTATACATAAAAAAGGAAAGAACATCACATGTGAGCGACTACAATGAGTTTAATAATCATAAATTATACGATATGTAGCGAGCACCGGAAAATTATTAGTATTGGATAGAAGTATATTGATGTTTAACTGTTGCCTGGTTTTGATCCAAATTCCACTCTCGATGGTTTCAATGTTTCACGAGTTTTCTGTTTACTTGCATCTCTTGGTGTAGCAACCATCGATGGTGGTTTCCATTCTTTTTTCTTAACCATTTTATTTGCATCTTGATCAGAATTATTTGCCAACGACCTTAAACGATCGAGTTCGACTTGTAATTCTTTATTTAAATGATCTAATTCTTCAATTTTTAGATCACGCCATTTGATCTCATTTAATTGATCTTGTTCTTGTTTACTTTGTAAAACATCCTTGGTACATATCGCTGCCAATTCTGTTACTTGATTAATACCAAATAAATTTAATAGAAAGTCGTGAAAGGGTTTATTTTTCTTATCTTGTATCGGTAAATATCGACTGGTGTATAATGAATCGTACAATTCATCTCTCAGTTTATCAGTGCCAATTCCTCGACCTCTTAATGATTCAATTTCTTTTGTATAACGTCTTAATTTATTTTGCATTTGATCCATTGTATCTCCATCCAAACCACTTTGTAAGATTGTCGTTTTTAACATTTTATCTGAAAAAAAACTAAAAATGTGTAGTCAACACCGTTAGATTAATAGATTAAGGGTACCCCTCTCCTTTTTTTTGGACTTTCCGTAGAGATGCTGTGAAATAAAAATTAAAAGTCACTAAGGTTCCATATTTTCAGAATTGATTGGAAACTCAATGGAGCATTTTTTTGTTTTTGTTTCAAGTTTTTAAGTATTACCATTCACGAGTTTTCCAGAAAACTCGATTTTTCATTGTATTACATGAAAAACCCCTTAAATTTCATTCGACGGACTTAGAAGCTTTACCAGAGGTACTCAAGACACTATTGCAAAGGTATTTTTGGAGAATCTTTTTAAAGACCTTTTCTTGTCGAATTATAGGAAAAATACTAAAAAACGTCGCAAAAAGCAAGTTTTTCAATTTTAGAAACTATAACTCGGTAAAAAAAGATCTAAAATAAAATTTCAGAAAAGTACTTCTGCGATAGTGTCTTGAGTATCTCTGGTAAAATTTTTAAGTTTATTGGATGAAATTTAAGGAAGATCGTAATGTGACACAATCAAGTCCCATAACAAAAAACCAGTTTTCGAGAAAAATACATTTTATACACAGGTCCCTTTTTTCAGAGCATTTGCTGCGATGCTTATATCTCCACGAAAACTCATCGGAAAACATTTTTCAAAAAATTTTGAATGGACAGAAAAGGAAAGAAAAGTTTATGAAACTAAAAAATTGAGCTTTTTTAGGCTTTGAAGGAAAAAGTTCAGAAATGCATAACTTTTTGAAGAAAGGTCATGGAATGCTGGTAGTAGTCTCATTTTCTAGCCCACACTTTCCTCTACATCAGGCTATGCTCTGCTCAAAATCCGAAACTTTTTTAAAAAAGAGGAGTGGGGCACTCTTAACAAATGTAAGGCATTAGTACCTAATTGTCTTAACCAATCTGTCAACATAACCATTTTATCATGCATTTTAAATACAGAACGATTGTTGGCATCAACCTTAAACATGTTAAATGTAACAGACTAACAAGTAAGGGGGAAAAGGCATCTTTTTATACCATTTTTATCTGACTAGTCCATCTTTGTTCAAAATCTGCTTTCAAACGACCAACTTCTCCACGCAATTCTTTCATCTCTTCTTCCTATAATGGAATAAAATATATCACTAATTATTTAGTTATTCGTTTATCAATAACTACCTTTTGTTGACGAGCAATCTGTTCTGATTTTAGCGTATCTTTCAGTGTAATGACATTTCGTTTTTCTTCTTCAACCGTTTCGATTAATTTTTGCTGTGTTTCATAATGTTGACGCTTTAAATTGATTAGTTCAACCGATTTTCCTTGATTCTGTGGTTTCCACGTTTCTTTTAGAAAAACTTTTAACAGCTAAAGAGAAAAATATTCAAATATCTTAGATAGAAAATTGAACAGTTCATTTCACTTGTTCTTGTAGATAATTTTTTAGTTTTTCTCGTGTTTCAACTTTCAATTTATCAATTCCCGGACATTTCCGTACAAATTCATCATCAATAACAATTTTTTCCGTAGCATTGTCTAGTACATCGTCCAATTTTTTCTCTGAACAATAAAATGATAAAATAATAAAACATTTAATTTTAAGACGATCAGATAGAGAAACAAAACTTATTTACCTTCTGCTTCAAGAAATTCACCTAGAAATGGTTGTCCATTAGCAATTAATGCTTCGGAAAATCTATTAAAAGCCAAATCACCATTTTCAATTAGACTTGGAAAAAATTTTTTGTTTCGTTCGCTGGAATTTGTAATAGCCTTAGGAAATAAGAACAAATGTCAATTAGGGGTCACACATAACAACATATATTGTTTATTTTATGATGATGACGACATAAAAAATACTTTGCTTTCGAGAGTACACATATAGATTATCAGAAGAGAGGGAGGGAGCTAAAACATAAGTAAACAAACACAACTAAAAAGAATCTTTAAAAAGAAAAAAAGTAGACATATATTTTGAATTACTATTTTTGTATATTATCCTAGAAGTGCAAAAAATCTGGAGTCCAAGTCTGTTCGTGTCATCGGGACGGTCATTACTGATGGATGAAATATATTATTTTTCTGCAATACAACTTTACTCTTCGACTAAAGACACATGGTTTTGATACTTAACTTTAACGTACCAAGAAAGTTGAATCTCTGACATATCTGCAGGTGATTTCATGATATAATCTGAAGTGGTTACCACTTCCGATTATATCATGAGATAAACTAACTAAAAATTGCAAGAAGAAAGCACACTAGTTTATCTCACGCAGAAATTAACATCCATAATAAGACAGTGGTATGTTTACGGTCTGTTCGGCTGACGATGAACTTTTTCGTCAGTGCACGTATCATTTTCAGAAGCAAATATTTTTCTTTTAATTAATGAGAAAGCTAACGTTGATAGTTTATCTTGTGCTCTTTTGCCCGTTTCAAACTCAGTGCTCTTTAGTACGATCCGTCCTTTATTTTAACGATCTTTCATCTGAAAATCTATTAACTGTTTGGATTGCTTAATGATTAACTTCAAGAAAAATATTTACCCTTTAAGGATGAGATGCCTTCGAGTTCTGTATGAGCTTTTGTTGCTACATATAGTATAGCCCAATCAATGTGAAAGAAACGCAGCGCACTTACGACCTTACACAAACAAGCCATTTAATTGTTGATTAAGGTCGATTAAAGTAGTTTTGTCAAGAAAAAAAATCAAATTTAAAAAGTATCAGAGTTCGATAAGTGTATAATTTAGTTTATTTAACATTTAAATGGAAAAAACCTGTCTTTATCTTACTTTAATTTCATCGATAACAAAATCTGGTAATACTCTTTTATCTTTAAACCATTTTAAAAATTCATCGGTTAATATCAAATTATTTTCTAATAGATTTCGATATCGTTCGAGTAATTCTCGTTTTTTCGAATTTACCATCTTACGTTACTCCAATCGTGAAATATTATTCAACTAAAAGACACTTTTTTTTTTTCAATTTTTTGTTATTTCTTCTTTACTGCCACTAAAAACTGATCCTTCATATAGACAGTTTATTAATTTTTTTTATTCTCTTTTTTTTTTTTTTTTTTTTTTGCACTCTCTCTTTTGAAGAGTGACAACAGTAAAAAAATGTGAGTGAGTGAGATATGTTTGATTTGTTCATGACACAGTGTGAATGTGTGAATTCAATGACATAAGTGTATCTCATTAAAAGAGAAGAAAAGAAAAATCAAAAAGAACGAAATTAAAAATATTTAAATTAGGATATTTTTGCTGCTAGTAGAAAGATGGTACAATAGATGACCAAAAGATGTTGTTTTCTTGTACACATAATTCTATTTTTTTTTTTGTTTTGTTCTGTTTGTCATAAAATAGTTCTATAGACAACAATAAAATTTTTAATAACTGAAACATCATATTTCAATTTACACGTGTCGTGTCAAAAAATGAAAAACTAAATTTTACTTTCATTTTAGAAAAGTTTTGTTACTTTCGTTTATTTTCAATGATTGGCATAATTTTTACAATTATAGATTATTATTTGTTTCATATAGTACGAAAAATTTATGTATTGAATTTTTTTTTCAATTGTATTAGAAAATTCTGAACTATTTCTATTGAGATAGACAATGTATTAAGCAAATACATTTCAAAATTTTAAATTCTCTATATTTAATGTAAATTTAATTAATAAAATATATCAAGCGTTAAATAAAAAAAAGAAAGTAAACTTATTTTTCTAAAGAAATAAAAAAAAAATTGAATATTTAATTTTTTTCTAGCACAATCATTTGTTGGAAAGTACTTAGCTATACGTAGTTCTGTGGGAATCAAATTGAATAAACGAGTATAATTGATCGTGGTATTGATTCTTTTTATACTTTTTTAAAATTCTCTTAGAACCATTCAACCATTGATACCAAACATTCATAATCTGTTGTCTTCTGTTTGTTGAAGTCACTATGACAACGAGTTGTATTTCACTTCAGGAGAAAAAAAACAAAAATCCTTAAATTTTTTTTAAAACTTTTAAAAACAGATTGTAATAGCTCCACACTGAACTAAAATCATTTGATAATGATAGAATATCGTATTTAATTTCATTATTTCATAGTATATAATTAAGAGTACAACCCCTCTATTTTCAAAAAAGTTTTTGATTTTCAGTTGAATGTAGACTAATGTGGAGGAAATTTTGGACTACAAAATAAGACCACTTTCAGCATTCCACTACCTTTAAGGAAAAAGTTATGAGTTTTTTAAGTTTGGGCCTGAAAGACTGAAAGAACTCGATTTTTTTGATTTCTTAAAGTTTTCTCTTCTTTTTAGGCCCTTCAAAAAAAGTTTTTTTCTACATAATCTGATAGAGCAAAGTGTTCTTTTCATAAGGAGACGTCGTACAAAATTTTTCAATTGTTTTTTGCGAACATATATGCACGGGTGCATATGACTTGAAAAAACTGTCTTGTCTAATGTTGATTGTAATGCACAAAACAGTAGTGATCCCAGTCTATGAACGTTACGATCCCATCGAAACTTCATCCGATCGGATCCAAAATTTTACCACTTAAAGCGATATCTTAAAACAGTAATTTTCATTTTTCGTTTTTGATTTTTTCTTTTCGAGTTACAGGGTTTTCAAAACCTGAGTTTTTGATTTCACTTGGGACTTTTACCATTGTTATAGATCTCGAAAGAAAAAGCTCAAAAACGAAATTATTGGGTGTATTCTTTTACATCAAGAGTATAGAAATGGCCAGTTTCTTAGATTGATGACTATATTTTGGAAATAGAAATACTATCCGTTTTGATTTAAAAATATAAAAAACTAATATAAAAGACAAAGTGTTTTCTTTCGTTACCCATAGATATTTTCTTTTGAATATTATACCGAAAGCTCTTTTTTTTTTAATGAAATATAAGAATTTTTATCAAAAGTACAAACGAGTAATCTTGAACGTTGTTTTTAGAAAAATATGCCACTGATAATCAAAACTATCTTTGAGAAAATGAATAGAAAAATAAAGTAAAAACAGGAAATATTTTAACGTCTATCATGAACGGAACAGATATTTCAAGGTTAACAATACACCCAAAGAGATACATACTATGAAGAAGTATTTATATTGTAGATCACATTATTTAAATAAGTCATGTATTTTTCTATATCAACGACAAATCGATACAAGATATTTTTCTAGTAAAGAATAATTCTTAGATGTTGTATTTGAAACACAACTGATTTGTCTCACATCGTTGAAATTCACTTGAATATCCAAAACTACGTTTATGGTTGCTCATGTAGTATATTTCGAAAACAACTGACATAGTTCATTAGAAAATCTGAAATACGACACAGTGTTGAACTCCGGTGAGACTTCTTGGATTACACACTTTACTTATCATTCGCAATTGAAATCATAGTAGAATTCATCATGTTTTAAACAGATTTGTTTTTTGAATTTAAAAAATCACTTTTTGATTATTTTTTGGTATAGTTTCACAAATACAATTAATTTAATTCACCAAATATTATATGGGACTTCTTTTTTTGCATACACACTTCCAAATTTGTAATCGAGTGATGGATATTTCATAGAATGTTCATCCTATCTCATATATCCAAATCTTTACATACGAACGTGTATTTATATCATCATCTGACGTACAAACAAGCATACAAATGGTTTGATTTAGGTCTAAGCTAGCAGCTAATATTGCTAAATTTCTATCCGCCCTACATCTATCTGAGTTGCAAGTTGCTTTAACAATCTCTTGTAATAATGAATTATTGATAACCAATAACTCTGAAAGTTAATGAGGTAAAAAGAACTTCTGAGACCGATTTGGTTTCTCTTGTTTTCACTTATTATTCTGCCAATAGTTTCTGTTTATCGCTTTGTCTAGTATAAAAATGTATATGGAGCGACGGATTCATTTGTCCTTGAAAATACTCGTCATCAATTCTTTCAATTCGATCGAATAAATATTTGAATGGTTAGCAAAGGATGAAACATAATTACTACTGCAGATTAAAATTGAATAATTAACTAAAAATTTTTTTGCATCATCCAAAGTTTAATCGCTTTCAGATTAGAAAGATAAAATTTCTTCACTAGTACACCTTACCTACATTGATCATTTGACATTTTCTAGTGGGTAAGGTTTTGGATGGTTTGATTTACACTGGAGAATTATTTTTGAAATAGCGTCGTATGATCAGAGATGCTCACAGTACATAGGAAACAATAAATTCTCTCACTAAAATTGGCCTAGCAGGAATGCAAACGAAAAAGTCATTGAGTAAAATAGCCAGTATCCAATTTACAATTATTGGCACAAGTTTTATAAAACTATATTTGCACAAAGTTTTACAAAACAGCGTCTATAGACGCTGATGAATACAGATTTCTTTGAAAACTTGAAAGGATTTTTCCAGTTAGTGCTCATTGTTAAACACGTTTAAATCAGATAGTTTTTCTGATGCAACAAGTAGAATAAGAAGGACGTTTTATAGAAATCGAAACATGTTAGCTTGATGCGGCGTAGAATAATATTAAACCAGCATTAAACGGTGCGACAGCATCAAAATCTACCAGACCAGACCAGACCGCTGTGCAGTTCACGTGTTGAAAGGTTTGCTTAGGTAGCGCTAATTATCTTAGCGTAGTTACAGATTCAAGAAATATTTTTACACCATTCGATTACTTATAATCTCAGGGATACACTGAAATCATTCTTCACGTTGTCCGATAAAACTGTCTGACGAGGAAAGATCTCCGAGTGCCAACTTGGACTTTCCTTGAAATATACTTCATTATGGGTTATTTTTTATGCTAATCACGAATCTGATATCCGTTCATCCTCATACGGTCTTTCAGAACCTCTGTTTAAATCCAGCGTCTTCAGGAACTCACAGTGTACTTTCGTCTGAACAAATTCTGATAGTGCCAGATTGTAGAGCATATTATATTATCCCTGGTGACAAGTTTTCATTGACTTATAGGTTTTGTATGGAAAAAATACCTCAGTGATCCTTATTCTGGCTGGATAAAACACTGAAATTTTTATAACTAAGTGAGAACTTGTCCACTGGGGTTATTTGATATGCTCTGCAATCTGGCACTATCAGAATTTGTTCAAACGAAAGTTCATTATGAGTTCCTGAAGACACTGAATTTGAACAGAGGTTCTGAAAGACCGTATAGGGATGAACGGATATCAGATTCGAGGTCAGCATCAAAAATTTCTCATAGTCAGGTATGTTTCAAGGGAAATTTGAAGTGGCACTCGTGAGATATTTTTGTAGAGCTCCATGTCAATTAAAAAATGAAATTTCTAGAAAGTGTTTGAAGGTATCCCACAATTCTCATGAAGCTTATCCTATCTCAAAGAGATCAGAGCCGGTTTGTTACCAGCAGAAAGGCCACAGTTTCGGCTACTTGACTGCAAAAGCGTGAACGAAAAACTCCAAATCTGAAAAAGTTCTTAGAATAAAACCCATGAAAGGTTAAAAAACATATTTAAGAAAAGCCCCCGCTTTACTCGATAATTTGTAGTCAAGATTTACTGTACTTATTATCCCTTTTTTCTAAATTACTACAGTAGAGTTAGCAAATTACTATAAAGTATGAGTATCGAGGAGCGTTATACAATCTTAGAACAAACTACTGAGAAATATGTTTACTAACACGTTTCTATAATCCGTTCCAAATGGTCAGACCGCTGGTTGCTTTTTGAATAACTTTTGAGTGCAAAGTGAGTGCAGCATCTTACTTTTGAAAGGCTTAAAAGGT